GCAAAGTGATAGCTCGGATTAGAGAGACCTTTGCTCATCTACCTCTCTCCCATGGAGATCAAGGCCTCCATGTGAGAAGACCCCCTAGCAAGACCCCATCTAGGGAAGATCCATCTTGGATTCAAGACCTCATCTCCTTTATTGGATTTTGGATGAACTCTACCTTGTATCTTTGTTCCCTTTGTTGTTCATGTATCTTTGTGGATCTTGTGTGGATGTGTGATTTGACTTGTTCTTGAATCTTTCTCTTGTGATTTCTCCATGTTCTTCCCTATGTTCATTGTGTCGTGGAAGATCACTACCTAGGGCTTTGGCCCTACATCAATTTTGCAGATGCCTCTTGGCGATGTCCATCACTGCCTGACCCTACAGGGATGTGAATATACATTGCAATGAGCAGGATGATCGAAGGATCCACTTCATGATTATGGCTTCCCGCAATACATGAGCCCCCCTCCTACAGCTGAAGCCAAAGCTAACTTGCAGTAGAAAAGCACACATCCAACAATGCTAATTGGTCCATGGACAACCAAACTCTTGCCCATGGAACAATTTCAAGGAACACTTGCTCCAAGCCACTGGGAAATCAGAGCTACAACCTCTTCCAGGTTTCCAGAAATGAATCCATGAAGATCTTCCTTATCAAAAGGAATCTCAATGGAGTGCCCGCAACCGTGCTAAAGATTCTCCCTAGAAGCTCCCAAATATAGCGACGGCATACATAAAATGAAAATGAGTCATTGGTGGTGAATATTCTACTATTTGGAAATATTGACGGTTAATCCATTTTGAATAAAAAATGAAAAAAAATCCATAGTACTAGTAAATTAAACTCTGAAAATAGGTTGTTCATGCCTTTGTCAATGTATATACAACCGAGCTGGAAGGAAGAGGATGATGTAAAAAGAAGGCACGAGCTCAAAATCACTTGAATTGACCAAGCAAGTGGACATGTACAGTTCTCACACTAGTACTCCCAGTCTGCATATAAAGTTTGGTCAAAGTCAAACTTGGTAAAGTTCGACTAGCTTTATATTAAAAAATATCAACATTCACAATACGAAATCCATATTTTCAGATGCACCATGAAATGTATTTTCATATTATATAGTTTTAATATTGTAGATGTTCATATTTTTTAATATAAATTTGGTCAAACTTTGTGTAGTTTGACTTTGACCAAAACTTATACGCGGAGTAAAAAGAAATGAAGGGAGTAACATGCAACCACCACATGTAAAACAAAAAACATGCAACCACCGCATGTAAAACAAAAAGCATGCAACCACCGAATCATAGTTATGACATTTCCTTTTTGTCAATATGATTTGATTTGAACCTGAATTTTCTCTTTATTCGTGTGCCCCTTTTTACTACTTATACGTTGATAACAAGACGAATGCAACACTTTTTATTTAGATCTCTATATCAGGTGACAAGTAGGTGATACTTGACATTACACTAAGCCCCCACAGTGGAAAAATGGGTAGGCGTCAAAATTTGATATCCACTCATCTTGAAGAATCTTTGGGCTAATTTGTCCAAGCCAGTTATTTCACCATCAGCCTGAAAGCAAAAACAAACAGTAGTTACATCTTGAGCAATCCATAGAAAATATACAACTATAATACTAGCTTGTCAATATCTGTTATCCACTCAACTTGAAGAATCTTTTGGATAATTTGTCCAAGCCAGTTATTTTTGTTAGAGTAATCATATCCTATATACCTAAGAGAGTCATCCTCTTAACTTATTTATCTAATATGCCACCTCACCATACAACTATGAATAGGATAAGGCCCATCACAACATTCAACCATGCATGGGAAAATGTTTTCCATTCAATTATTCTACTTATATTCAATAAATATTGTTACAACTATACATAATAAAATATAAGTTGTGTACTTTAATTTTGGTTTTCATATTATCAACCCAAATGTTCATCAACCAATTCCTGCAGCAACGCACTGGGCATCCTCTATTTATATAATATAGTCGTGTACACTTTGTATATTTCCCGTTTATAAGGGAACTCAAACATAGAGCTTTGCCAATGTATAAGGGAACTCAAACATAGAGCTTTTCCGTTTATAAGGGAACCAATTCTCTCCTTGTGGGAACTCTCCTAGTGGAGATTAAAGCCTCCTCTTGAAGGGACTTCATGGGAGTACAAGACCTCCTGAGGGAGAAAACTCCGTGGAGTACAAGGCCACCCTTGTGGTGAAGGCTCCATGAGCACAAATCCTCCTTGTATTAGGATTTGGGGAAGAACTCTATCTTGCTCCCTCCGTCTCTTGTGGATGGCTGGGATCAAGGAATTATCCATGTGTATCTTGCGTTGCCACTTGTGTGTTGATTTGTGCTTGTTTCCCTTGTGTTTATCACCTCTTTCTCTCGTGTTCTTCACGTTTTCCCTCAAATCCAACTCCAAGTCGTGAAGACCAGGCCACCCCTACGGGTTGCCCCGGATCAACACCCGGAGATACCCCTAGACACTCCGGCCCCAAGCCAAGAGCGCCAGGAGAAACAGCCAAAGCCTTCGGGCCATGTGCCTTCACCGAGCCTCTAGGAGACAGCTGGAGCTTCCAAGCCAACCACCCCGTACACTCCAGACCATGGAGACTCCGGGTAACTGCCTGTGTGCAGCTTTTAGGCTCTTCCCTCCTTCCCCCTTCGTGGGATCACCACCTCCTCTACAGGGTTAGCAAAGATTACTAGATAAGAGGGTGACTGTCTGTGTGCAGCTTTTGGGCTCTTCCCTCCTTCCCCCTTCGTGGGATCCCCACCTCCTCTACAGGGTTAGCAAAGATTACTAGATAAGAGCTTTTGCCATCTACCTCCCCTAGTGGCATTCCTCCATTGTGGAGAAGACTCCGAGGAGCACAAGGCCTCCCTTGTGGAGAAGACTCAGAGAAGACTGCACTGGAGTACAAGGCCTCCCTTGTAGAGAAGACTCCATTGGAGTACAGGGCCATCCTTGTGGTGAAGGCTCCCATGGGCACAAGAACTCCTTCCATGGAGAAGATTCTGCATGTGAAATTCAAGACCTCCATCTCTTAGGATTTGGGGATGAACTATTCTTCGTTTACTTTTCCCTTTGATTGTTGTTTGGATTCAAGTGCATCTCTTGTATTGACCTTCGTTAGCTCGAGGCTTTTTTCCGTTGTCATTGCTAGTGATTCCTCGTGTTTTTCCCCGTGTTCTTCATCATATCCACCTCCAATTCGTGAAGATCGGGCCACCCCTACAGTTTGCCCTATACCAGATGGTCTCCAAGAAGCGACTTTGGAAAAGTAGTTTTGATCAGTACAATGTGTGTTGGTGTTTCGCAAAATATATAGCACGGAATAAGTATTTTCTAGAATCAGCCCATGTTATTTTCATGTGTCAAAAGAAAACTCTTACAAAAATTTGCACAACAGAAGCTGAACAAAATTGGCAATACATCTACAGCAGCAATATCGCAAATTATATGCCTAATTTACACCCCATCATTATTACCATAACCGTTGTAAATAGCACACCTCTTCTGTGAAAATAAAAGAACAGCAATCTTTGCATGCTAACCCTACGAAATTCGCACTTAAATTGCTCTAGCAACCAAACAATCTGGTAAGGGCTACATTCTGCTTAGTAAAAGTAAGTAATAACCAGCCCGAACTTGTCACATTACGCACTACGAATAGTTGAATACTATTCCCAGCAAGAAAAACAGAAGAAACTGCTTGCATTCATTCCCAAAGTCCTTTGGGGTTTGAGCAACCTTTGTTGTACAAATTCGTGAAAAACATGCGTGCATATAACATATAACAGGAAAGCAACAAAGCTAAATGAAGCATGACAACAATTCGAGATATTCTGTTCTTTTTTACTTTTCGAGTGGAATTGAGGATTTGACCTATTGTAGGTATGCATGTTGGACTTCTGGTTTTGATATGGCATGAAAGTTCATCGTTATAAGAATTAATGAGATAATCAAATCTGGTTAACATAAATCATGTTCTTAGCTTCACGCATTGTTGTGTTATGCATGTGTTACCACAATGACCTGTACGATGAAGATGCCAAAAGATGGACAAAGGAACCTGCTAGGTATACTGTGCTGCTATCTCGCGCATCAGGCTTTCAGGAGCTGCAGAAAAAGAGTGTAAAAAATAGTAACTTATGATAAGTAAGCTGCGGGTGCAGTCACATCATTTGGTAAAGTAAGGGTTATCCTGAAGTTGATAGAAGATACCTTCTATACCACCAGTGAAATGCTCAAATTGGCCCATGGCTTGTCTAACAAACATCTCTACACCGCTAACAACTTTCACTCCATGTTCTTTTGCTTCTCGTAGAAGCCGGGTAACTTTTGGGGCATATACCGCATCAAACACTACATCATAGAACCTTAAAGCTTTCTGCAGATCCAAAGGGAGAATTCCTCAAATACACCGAGGGGGCATGTTAAAGATGGAATGAAAGATTAAAAGGAAAAGGATCCCCAAATTTAATTTTGTTAGAATGAAACAAGTTTGCTTGCTTGCTCGTGTGTGTGTGTGAGAGACCTTCGGAACAGGAGTGCCATCAACATTTGGGTACATCCCCAATGATGTTGCATTAGCGAGGATCGTCCCTTCTTCAGGCCTGAAATTTTCCAGGTCGGCTAACCTCAGGGCCTGGCCACCAACTGCATTGGCAAGAGTAACTGCCTTTTCTGGGGAAATGGAGAATATTTTCAAATTACAAGATGTATTACGATACGGACATCATTCATCTAAATGACCATTTGGCTTACATCGAGTATGGACCAACAAGAGATGAAACAAAAAGCAATCATGTAAGAAAATCATACTAACTTTAAGATGGTATGGTATCTAGCGCAAAGTAGGTTCACTGCTCAATACGGTGTAAAGTGAGCCCTTTTAGGTAAAAAAAAGGGGGAGGTCTTAATCCTCAAACAGTTCTGAAAACAAAATTATACATCTCTACTATTAAAGGGGAGTTTGTTGGTTTCACTTACATCGCTTCCACTCCTCAAATCGATACATGCCACCTCCTATCGACTTTTTTTTAAACCATGCAATAACCCCCATTAATATTTTTCCAAACCAACTCAATACCACTCTCACTTTCCGCAACCCCCATTGTTTACTCACTTCGCACTCCGACAAAATTTTGCCACATTGTGCTTTGAGTATTTGAGTTGCGGTTCCCGTTTCCTAACGTGTTTCGGCTACTTAGGGACGGTTCGACATCAACATCACCGCCGCTCATCATCGACAACAACCACTTCACCATTTTGACACCATACCATAAGCAAGAATCGGTAACCTCATCTTGGTATCGTGACACCCCATTATTATACAATCTTGCCATTTACATTGATAACCACCATAGCCCAATTTTGCGTATCTTACCCATCGAAACTAGCCTTTGAGTATTGTCGGCAACGTGACTTGTGCACCTTAGTGATCATACTTTCCATAGCATACATACCATATCATCTTGGTGCATATCTCGGTATCATCTTTTGGTGTCACAAAATTGTCATCGCATACACAATTGCTATCTTGGTTCGTGAAGCATTGCATGAGAAAGAGTTCAAAAGAGAAAGAGCCAAACAAGCTTTTAAGCAAAAGGGAAACATAAGCAAAGAGCTTTTAAGCAAGAACCATAGCATCATACTACATTAAGATTGTCATACTAGATCATCTTGGATCATATCATTGAAACACCATACATAGAGCATACTTGGGATAGAAGTCGTTGCATTTTTGCTTAGTAGGTTGTGCACAAGTCTTCGTATCCGCCTATTATGCAATCGTGCTAGCGTCTCTCTAGTGTTGTGCAACAAGAGCATTTTCGTGGATTTCACATTTTGGCTCACTCCTTGGTTGCACGACCCCATTTATCTCTCCGTGTGTGAGTTCCCGTGTACCATATCTTGCTATTAGTCTACTTGTTGCATTTGCAAATTTGTGAATCTTTTCCAACATTATTGAAGCTCACTAACAATTGCATCAAATTTTGTGCAACCATCCTAACCGAGCTCCACCATAAGCTTTTACTTGTGTAGGTGTGAGAAACTGACAAGAATTGGTACCAATTGTGCTATTTCCTTGTTCCACATTTGAGTGATCATTGATCCGTCTTGACCGCAACATCGGTCAAGGTACATTTGGTATAAGTTCTTCTCTTTCTCCCACTCACATATTTGTTTAGAATGATGGATAGGCCAAGCACTTCTACCAATCCACTCTTCATTGAGCAAGACGACGACATGTCCTCCTACGTCACAAAGAGCCACCTCTTTGGTGCACAACGTGCTTTGCATCAAGAGCAACAAGCAATGAACGAACGCATCAACAACCTCGCCACCGACTTGCGACTCTCCGAGCAACGTACAAGAGACTATTTCGACAACAAGCTCGACGACCACAAACAAGAGAATGACGCAAGAATGGACGAGATTCGTGCTTTGTTGCTCAACCGCTCTTCTTCCACTTCATCCTACTCAAGACGGAACCGCTCAAGTCGACACTCCGATGACACCATCTCCCGCTCAAGTACTCCGACATCGAATACTCTTCGAAGTGCCGCGCGCCAAGATCGTCAAGCAAACCGTAATCCTCTACACGACAACGACTCTCAAGAGCAATGACACCGTCAAAACCAAGCTACTTTTGCGCAAGCACGAGAACGGCAACGCCAACGCCATCAAGAAGAGGAAGAGCGAGCGAGACTACATCAAGATGAACAAGATGCCGAGGCACAACGTCAAAAACGACAACTACGTGAAGCTCAAGCACTTGAGGCGCAACGTGCCCTTCGAGATTCAAGTCGAGCCGTAGCCACGCGCAACCGACAAGCTCGTGAACAACAAGAAGCGCTTCGCGAAGAGGTTCAAGAGAGGATTTTTCAATCAAGAGTGCATCGTCAAGTTCCTCAAGCTCCTCCACAAGTTCAACAAGCACCTCAAGTTCACCAAGAACAAGAAGACAATGGAAATCCTTCAAGACAAGAGCAAGTTGAGGGAGACAATCCTCCTCATCAAGGATGTCATCACCCTTGACCCCAACACAATGAAGAGCAACGATACGGCAAGCTTAAGTTCACCATGCCCAAGTTCAATGGAAGCAATGATCCCGAAGAGTACCTATCATGGGCATTGAAGGTTGACAAAATCTTCCGCTTGCACAACTATGAGGAAGAGAAGAAGATCGCGATGGCAACCCTTGAGTTCCAAGACTACGTCCTCATTTGGTGGGAACAAGTCATTGAGCGCCGTGAGGCAAGAGGTGAACCACCCATCACTACTTGGGCGCAAATGAAGGATGTCATGAGAGCACGTTTCGTGCCAACATACTACAACCGTGACCTCTTCAAGAAACTCCAACTCCTCAAGCAAGGATCCAAGAGCGTTGAAGAATACTACAAGGAAATGAAGATTGCCATGATACAAGCTAATGTCACGGAAGATGATGAGAAAACTATGGCACATTTCTTGAATGGACTCAATCATCCTATCAAGAAGATCGCCGACTTCCAACCATACTCGAACCTCATCGAGCTAGTGCATCAAGCTACCAAGGCGGAACGTCAAGTGCAAGATGACTTCAAATATGCCAAGTTCGCATCCAAGACCTATGGTTTCTCCAAATCTCAAGTTTCAACGACTCCAACACCTCCTACCTCAACCAAGCCATCTACAAGCAACGGCGACAAGTCAAGTTACAAGAAAACTTCGACAACCTTAAGTCATCCTCCTACAACAAGCAACTTCAAGCCGAGAGCTTCGTCATCCTCTACCCCAACCGATGAGACCATCAAAACAAGTTCCTTCAAATGTTTTACATGCGGCGGTCGAGGCCACAAGTCCTTCGAATGCACAAACAAGCGCACCATGATCTTCAACGACGATGGTACATATGACTCCATGAGCGAAGGAGAAATGGAAGCCCTTGACCAAGTGGCCATGCACCGGCAAGTGAACGAAGATGAAGATGATCAAGTCTTTTGTGACGAAGATCCGAGCCCCACTCTCGTTGTCTTCAAGGTCTTGACTCTTCAACATCAACAAGAAGACGACCAAAGATGCCATATATTCCATACCAAGGCCGGCATCAATGGAAGGTCCGTCAAGGTCATCATCGATGGAGGGAGTTGTCATAACTTGGCAAGTGAAGAACTATGCTCCAAGCTCCAATTGGCCAAGATGAAGCACCCACATCCCTACAAAATTCAATGGCTTAGCGACTCCGGCACTATCCAAGTCGAGCATAGAGTGCAAGTCTCCTTCAAAATCGGAGCATACGAAGACACAATGGAGTGTGATGTCGTTCCAATGTCCGTCTGCCACCTTCTTCTTGGGCGACCATGGCAATTTGATCGAGGTGTCATCGACAACGGCCGCACGAACCACTATAGTTTCAAGATGAAAGGAAAGGAGTACGTCCTTCGACCTATGTCCCCAAGCCAAGTGATCGCCGACAAGCAAGCCACCTATCGTGAAGAGAACAGTGAAAGAGCGAACCACCAAAAAGAGAGTGAGCGCCACAAGCCAAAATTGAGTGCCTCCACGATGAGCGACAATAACTTAGTTCTATTTGCCACCAAACGTGAGATGAGAGAAGTGTGTGAGAACCCATCACGTGTCATGCACTATGTCCTTTTGTGCAAGAATGACGCACCAAAAGCTAACACCTCTCACAATCTACCTTTAGTGTTATCTTCTCTGTTGTAGGAATTCCAAGATGTTTTCCCCGACGAGCTACCTCCGCGTCTACCTCCACTATGAGGCATCGAGCACCGAATCGACCTCATCCCCGGAGCACCCCTTCCTAACAAGGCTCCCTACCGCGTCAACCCCGAGGAAACTAAGGAGATCCAATGGCAAGTACAACAACTCATCAACAACGGCCATGTACAAGAAAGTTTGAGCCCTTGTGCCGTCTCGGTAATCCTTGTTCCCAAGAAAGATGGTACATATCGCATGTGTTCTGATTGTCGTCCTATCAATGCTATTACCGTGTGGTATCGTTACCCTATTCCACGCCTAGATGATATTCTAGATGAGCTTAGCGGAGCCACCAATTTCTCTAAGATTGATCTTAAAAGTGGCTACTATCAAATACGCATCCAAGAAGGTGATGAATGGAAAACCGCATTTAAGACCAAATTTGGCTTATATGAATGGTTTGTTATGCCAATTGGTTTATCCGAAGCACCCGGTACTTTCATGCGACTCATGCATTTTGTTTTTCGACCCTATATTGGTGTATTTGTTGTGGTCTACTTTGACGATATTCTTGTGTTTAGCAAATCTCTCAAAGATCATGTCACCCACCTTAGGACCGTGTTGCAAACCCTTCGAAAAGAGCGCCTTTATGCTAATATGGACAAATGCCTTTTGGTGTTGATAAGCTTGTTTTCTTGGGTTTCGTTGTGTCTTCTAAGGGTATTCATGTAGATGAATCTAAAATCAATGCTATTAAAACTTGGCCCCAACCAACCAACTTGCAACAAGTGCGTAGTTTCCTTGGTTTAGCCGGTTTCTATCGTCGATTTGTGAAGGATTTTAGCACCATTGCTTCACCTTTGCATGCTTTGAGCAAGAAGAATGTGCCTTTTGTTTGGGGACCATCCCAAGATACCACATTCAATGAGCTTAAGAATTTGCTTACTCATGCTTCCGTGCTTGCATTACCCAACTTT